CTCCTGCTAAAATGTGATAGCTTTCTGCCTGGGTGCCCAACTATATGTCACCCAAGTAATCTTGAGGGAAGATAACAGGATGAGCAAATACATTACAAAACACAAACTATCATTGCCACCTGGCAGGTATTGTTTGATGTTTCCTTTTGCAGACCCTTAACAATAACTCAGTGAAGATTTTTCTTAAATATTGAGGGTGTGATTTATCTTTCCACCAGTGTAAATTCACTGAAGTCAATGTAATTACACGAGTGTAAACCTGATGCAAGCAACAGAGAGGAGAATCAAGACCTGAAACTTACCTTTTAGCTTTGTTTGATCTAAATGGTCAATAAGAAATGAGACCTCTGTGTAAGCTGAAAAGTTTGTATCTCTCGCCAACAGAAGTTGGTCAAATAGAAGATATTACCTCACCCACCTTGTATCTCTAATAAGAAATAAGCACAAGAGAATCACCTTGAATATTTGAAATTGTGGCAGTTAAGTGGATTTGCTGGCAGCCTAATATAACTACCAGGTAAAATGCTAGGGATCAAGACTAATCTCTGGCAATTTGGAGTCGTGAGGGGAAATCATAAGGATGACACTTCCAGCCTCTCTAAGTTGCATAGTATAGCTGAATCTCTGTGAAGAAACCTTTCACTTCCTGCACAGTATGGCAGTAGTCCAGGAGGACCCTAACAGAACCTCAAGTCACATGAAGCTTGTACAATGTTGCATCCATTTAAAAGTACCCACATGGAGAACAATAGGACATAAATGCTAGAAACAGTTCTCGGATAATGACAGCATGAATGAAATTTGCATATCGCACACAGTCTGATTTTAATATCCCAAATCTGGGATAAGAAGATCTGAAACTCACTGGAATATGCTATTGGTCCAGATTAGTAAGGGACAGACCATGCTCAGATGCCTCTCGTTTTCTACAATAACCCTCATGCCCCCTCAAAACAAAACAAAAATCAAACCCAAAACAAATCATCCTTTCACTGCATAACCTAAAAAAAGCAGCTGTTATTTTTTTCTGTCTTAAGTAAAAAAAAAATCAAGTTACATAGGCTGCCCTTTGCAACATTATATAATGCCTTTATATGGTATCTTTCTGTAAAGTGAATCACTGCATACAGTAATATGCTTATCAAAAATAACTACTGCACATGTAACCATGCGCACTGTACATTGTTTGGGTCTCCTTGTCTTTCCCAGCCCTTCTGTGGTCCATGACAGCTCCTTTTGCATCAGAGACCTTACACTAAGGCCTTGCATTCTCCTGGCTCTGCCACAACCAAGGTCAGAGTTCATTCTCTCTCTCTCTCTCTCTCTCTCCCTTTCCTCCTTTCTTCCCCCTTCTCCCCCCAACTCAGGCATCTGTCAGTGACTGTCCAATTAACAGTTCTGAGCCACAATTACAGAAGTCATAAATGAAAGGATACTTTATTGGTAACTGTATAAAAAGTGACAAATCATAAAATGTAGGAAAAAATTGACCTATTTAATAAAATAGTGCAGAAGTGATACAAGACTTAGTTCTAAAACACTGAAATATTACCTACATGCATCAGAAAAAGCATCTTCCCTTCTCACAGTGAAAACTTTCTTTTAGTAAGCATCTAGACGTTACGGTGTATAGAAATACCATAGGGAGACAGACAGAAGATAAAATAGTCCAGAAAAGTTTCTTGCTGTAGCCAAAGCTCCCTTTCTCATAGCCTAATAAATATAGTTTAGTATCTGGGATCTCATCTTCCAGCTAATTCACATGTAGTAATATAGGTGTTTTCTTTCCACAAATATGTTTTCCTTAATTTAGAAACAAACTTATTTATAGTTCTCCCTAATATCTACTCAAGGGATTGTGATCTTCCTAACACCTCTCCATTCAAGTACTCATATATTAGTAGATATTCTTTTGTCTATTTTAATGATTGCCAACATCTTGGGGAGATGTCTGGACACATTACATGGACAAACCTTGATAGGCAGAGCTGCGGAGTCAGTACAGCACCACTATAGAATTATTTAAAAATAAATATTATAAATGCATTGGCTATATTTCAAGAACAAATTTATAGAACTCATGCAATCAGATGTAGTTAATTGCCACAGTATGCCTTTTAGCTTGTATATTGCACCCAAAAAGATGTAATCTTCCACCATCCTCACTTGGAAAGATCACTGTAGAAATTTAACTGGACTGCATGCCCAGTTTATCTACTCAATCTACTGAAAGTTAGCTAGCTTATGAAATTTGTGTCCATGATCATACAGCTAGTTTGAGAGAACCCTATTCTAACTTTAAAATGTTGCAGTAGTACTGAATATGGGAATGGCATTAAAGAGGGGGTATCTCGTGTACTCATTTGCAGAAGTGTCAACATCCAGAAAGTTCTTTTCCAGCAATTTTATTTCACAGCAGTGCTGGTCTGAGTTATACAAACAGAACAATTTAAAGAACTGGGTATGTTTGTCAGTTCATGGATTTTCTTCTACCTTGTAAATTATTGATATGTTTCACTGATTCCAGGTTTAAACAGCACACAATTTTCCCCTCCATCTGTAAACTTGTAAGTGACATATCTTGCCTTACACAGAAATGATGCTGAGTTTTACAAAGGCCTCATATATTGAAAAATGTAGTAAGTTGTGGAACTGTAAAAACTATTCATAGGCTTTAAAGGACTGCCTCTTATATAGACTGGATCTGTACTAATTTTGATGTTCCGTTTGGGTTTTTTTGTGCTTTATGTTCACACGCGATTTATTTGTGAAACATGCAAGAAGTTAGCAGAAAAGCAAACTTGTTTTTTTTGCTTTTTTCAATTTACTTTGTGCATCTGTTTATCTGAAGTTGTTATTATAAATCATCTCTCACTATGATGTCTAAGTGCCAAACAAAATTAAAATGCAGAAAGATTAATTCAAAATATTTTATCTTTTCTCACGTCCCAAGAGCAAGGTGGGATGGCTTGTACAGTATGTTCACCCTGGGTGAATGAAGCTCTAGGAGTACTGTCTCAAAGTTCAGCAGCAGCAACTTTTTTGAGCTGAGGTTTCTTTGGCCTTGTTCCTAAGAAGTGTAATTAAAAAAAGTCCCTCCATGTTTGATTTTTGGTTTTGCTTTTTAGACATTGTAACTAGTTCTCTAACTGCTTTTCAAAGTTGCTAATTTAGAAATTTCAAAAAGGTCAATTTTCAAAAAGTAAAGCTGAAATTTACTGTGAACATTTTCTTAGGAGCTCCATTCAGCTTTCCATCTACACAGCCATCTAAATATTACAGTGAACCTGTGTGTATTTGACAATATTTTGTGTGTAGTCAGTTTCACTATTCTCTATTAGTCAATTACTTAGGTTCTCCCTTGCTGAAAAGACCTTTATAAATATCAAGAGGAGAGCAATTTTCAAAGTATTTTTTTTAAATGTACACTGGACTTAGTATTTAAAAGAAGTTTTCAGACATTGGAATTTTCTTAATTAGACAACTGGCAGTGTCTCTATCTAATTTTCCATAATCTAGGCTTGTCAGAGAACACAGGATTTTATAAGATTGTTCCCTATAGGACAACTTTTGTTCCGTTACAATGACATTGCTTGGTCATAGGGAGAGTAATTGCTCTTCCCTTATTTTAAAAGATGTCCATTATTTGTTATCCTACAGAATAAATGAACATAATGTCTCCATGTCCTATGGACAGGTCAGAGAGGGGGAAAAATAAATCATGATACTTTCCCAATCTCATTGGAACAAAATGAGATGCCATCGACAATATTCTGTACATCTTCATAATGTGATTGTCCCTCTTCTTGCTGGCTTACGTCAACAGTGAAATAGTTAAGTGATGTCATGTAATGTATCATGTTTCGGAGTTAACATCACATTGAGATGTTCACATCTCTCAGAGATAATGGTTGTACTCTGTCTGCAGACACCATATCTGTTTACACTTGGATTTCCCTTTGCACCTATAAGATCTAAAGGGTTTTTTTTTTAAGTAAAAGCTTAGGTTCTGGAGCACAAAATGGCAGTCTCCAAAGAATAGTGCCACCTTTCAAGCCCATTTTGACTCCTGGTCCAGTATGTCAAGAGAGAATGCCCCTTGTCTCATATTTCAGCAACAATCAGTCGAAGGATCAGACACTGATACCAGGGTAGGTCTGTGTAAATAAACTCTGCAGGGTGGGTGTCATCCTTTTGGAAATAAGCGTTATCCCATATTTCACACATCTTTCATTGAAATCAGGGTGCTCACGAGAGCTGCGATGCAGATGTCATGGCACAACCAGGTCAAGACACTTGCGTAACTTCTGCAGCATTTGCGGGAGCTCCCTACAAAATGGGGACAGCCCCTAAAAATCCTGGAGGACCATCTCCCTCTCCCCCCACCCATTTATCCTGAAAACTTCTGTCTGAACCCCATTTCTTTGCACCCATTTTGTAACTGACTTGATGGGGTGGGGAAAGAGGGTCCAACTCTGTGTCCCACCCACCCACACACACACACACTTACCACCCTACTCCTCCCCAACCCAAGTGGCACCAAGGTCCAGTACAAGGCTCGTGGGGTTCCCCAACATAAGGGGCTATTCCCTACCCAGCAACTCTTCCCCTCACCTGCTCCCTCCTCCTCCAGGGGCGTCTCTGTCTCCTAGCAACGCTCAAAATGGCTGGCCCGCGCGGCGATTTCTGGGAATTATAGTCCTGGCACCCCCGAGCCTCTCATCCTTTACGGAAGCGAGGGACTATATTACCCAGTAGGCATCGCGCGCCGGAGAAGGGAGCTCGTCGAGGCGGCGCCGCGGCGGGGTTCCCTGTGGAGTGAGGGGACACAGGTGGGGGAAGCGCGAAGGGCGCTGGGAATTGTAGTTCCGAACCCGGAGAGACTCTCCAGAGCCCGTGGGCTGGAGGGCAGAGCAGGACTACAAGTCCCAGGGAGGCGCAGGAGGGAGCGGGCTGGACGCCGCCTGAGGGCGGGGGGTACGAAAGGGAACCTGCTGGTGGCGGCTCTGGAGGTTCCTCACTCAGGTGAGGGGGTGGCTGTGGAGAGGGGCTTGAATCCCTCCTGGGCCTGCAGGGTTTGAACCCCCCTCCCCGGGGTGCAGAGTCACTCCGATGCCCGGGCGATACTCCGCTGTTGCCCCTGTGCCCCGTGCTCTGGGGGCTCAGGCCTGCCGGGTCCCCCAGCGTGGGGGGCGAAGGAGAGGGCTCGGGCTCCCCCGCATCCTGGGGTGTAGAAAGAGGGGGCGATGAGGGCTCAGGCCCCCCTCATTCTCTGGGGTGGGGGGCCAAAGGCTCTGCCTCCCACTGCAGTCGGGGGGGAGACCAAAGCCCCCATATTTTGTGGGGGACAAGTCGGAGTGAAGGCTAAGGGCCCCCATCTTCTATACTTCAGGGAGACAACAAGAGGATGGGGAATGACTAATATCCCTTTTTTCCTTTGGTGGGATGAGGCGTGAGGAGGAGAAATGCCCCAGTGTCTCTTCTTGTAACTCCCCCCCCATATACTCACCTTTTTTAAGGGGGACAGTGGGGGACACATATTTGGGATTCAAATGGCCCTGGTGCCTTGTCCCGTAACCCCCCTCAATACACCCACCTTTCTGGGCGTGGGGGGGCTCACATTTTTGGGATTAATTTTACCGGGCTTTGTTCAACCTAGTTTAATCAGAATGAAGAAGGCTTAAAAAGTAAACTAAGCTTGAATGTGACTTAAAATTTGGCATTAAAACAGGCACGGCAAAAATTATTCATTTTAGGATTCTTCTAAAAAAACCAAAATCTTAATAAAAACAAATGCCTGTCTTAACACTAGTAATTAGTGAAATTCCTGCAATGGGAAGGGGAAGTTGCACAAAGGTTTCAAAGCTGCAGACAGAAAATAGCTTGTTGTAATATATTTAGCAAGCAATGTGAACCACAGAAAAATAGGGGGTGTGGAGAATACATTCCCTGGCAAAGAAGCTACTGTACATTTTAACTCGGGGAGCAGTTGCAGCGTTTTGGTATGCAAGGGGAAGCCAAGAAAATAGAAATCTCTTTTCTTCCCAATCCTTACAAATAAATTATGTAAAATCAGATCTCTACCAAATCTAAGACAAGGAAATGCCCACATTTTTAGGCTGATTTGACAGTACAGAATCTCTCCAATGAAAGAATTTTTGTAATGTTCTTCTTAAGAAAAAAAACCCCACTTTTTCAAATTATCATAGTTTGGTAGTCCTGGATTTTAGGTTTTGTTTTCAGGAATTACTTTTTGAAGTGTGTTTACCAGTTTAATCTCTTTAATTGCACAAGAGCAGGCTTAGTACGTATCTAAAAGCATTTCTAAAGCACCTGTAACTGGAGTATGTAACTATACTTTGGCAACAAAACACTGCCAACATTAATTTCTCTCATCAAACTTTGAAGGTAGCAGTAACAATTGTCATTGTAGAAGCAGTTATTGCAAACTTCTGGCTGACTGAACAATGATGGCAGTTTTGGGTCACCCAGTGGCTGCTTTAGGCACGTTCGAACCATGTAACTAACTCCTTTTCAGTAGAAACAAGGCGTAAAGTGAGTGTAACTTTCCACTCTTGTAGATGGAATGAGGGTCTGTTTCAATGCTTACAGGAGGCCTCACATATACTTAGGTCAACTCTGTAGGTCCCAACTAAACTAGCACTGTCCTTATCATGGGTATGTGTTAGAAGGGCAGGAAAAACAGGTAAGAGAAGCTGGAAAAACAAGTCCTTTTTTAAGAAAGCTTTCCTTTGTAAGGGATTGTGATAAGCACAGCCCAAATAATTGCCTGTCCTTCTACTGTGTAGGTGTCTTGCTACATGTATTTGCAATATGAATGAGAACCTAGCAGTACACCATGTTAAATTCCTCCTTCCTGAATAAAAAGCGTTTATGGAAGATCCAGTACTTCAGTATGAACCTCTGAAAAATTTGGTAAGTGAGAGTTTTTTGGCCTTTGCAAGTATGTGGTTTATGAAACTGGGATCTAATTTATTTTGCCTGTATGATATCCTGACAGTTACGAGCAACTAAAGGTCAGAACTAAAAATGCATTTGGCAGCAGAATGGAGATGATAAAATTTCAAAATCTTATCTGATAACTGAATCCACCTGAAATGTATGCACCAAATTTCTACCACCCATTCCCTTCCTTTTTTTTTTTTTTTTTTGTTTGACCTGTATCTGGAAAAAAACAAACAAACTTGCGGATACAATTCTTTCATAATACTTAGTCCTGCTGTGAGTGCAGGGGACTGGACTAGATGACCTCTTGAGGTCCTTTCTGATTCTATGATTCTAATACTGGACACAATGCTAAAAATACACCTATGCTAGTATAACTAATGACTATCCTTAATTTGTTTTGTTATTTTTAATAAACCTTGAGTTACAGAAGCACCTCTGCATCCAGGAAAGGGATAATTTTCTGGTTGTCAGGCTACAAGAGCCAAATAAATACTGCTGAGTAAAAATGTAAAGCATGTAGCTCATGCCTATTCGAGCACATGAGATCAGAGCTGACAATAACTTAAGGTTTTAGTTTTTATTTTTAGCATTTTATGATAGGAAGTATCTAATGTTTAAGGATATGATTCTGTCATTGAGGTCACGGATTCCGTGGCTTTCCGGGACTACTTCTGGGGCAGAGCCAGAGCAGCTAGCCGGTGGTCAGCGCTGGGCAGAGCGGTGGCTGCCCAGTCAACCCCGGGGCCACTGAAACAGCTGACCAGCCACTGCAACAGTTGGCCAGCGGTCAGCCCTGGGGCTGCCAAACAACTGACCAGAGGTCAGCCTCAGGCCCGCCAGAGCAACGGTTCTCAGCCCACCAGAGCAGCAGCTGAGGTTGGGTCAGCCCCCTGGGGGCTGGAGCAGCAGTGATCGGCCCCTGCCCCAGGAGCAGCGGCAGGGCTGGAGCAGCTGCAAACCCCGGCAGCACTCTGTTTGCCTCCCCTCTTTCTCCCCCCCTGGGTATTTTAGGAAAAGTCAGGGACAGGTCGCAGGCTTCCATGAATTTTTGCTTATTGCCTGCGACCTGTCCCTGACTTTTACTAAAAATACTGTGACAGAAACTTATCCTTACTAATGTTTAATTGTAATATCTGTGTTTTCAAAATAAAGGATGTTGGCACTTATGGTCTGGGCTCCAATTTGCGTGTCCTTTTTTTTTTTAAACCGAAAGTGAAAGTCCTGCCAAATGTAGTACTCACCAGAGAACTGTTTTTCTAATTTGCTTAAACAACAAGGAGTCTGGTGGCACCTTAAAGACTAACATGGAGAGAAGGGAGTTACTTCGCAAGTGGAGAACCAGTGTTGACAGGGCCAATTCAATCAGGGTGCTTGTAATTTGTTTCATTATGCATTATATTCTGAATAAGCTATCTCCTCCTGTTATAATGTCATTCTAAAGTCAACAGTATTACATTTCTGATTGCATAGGGGATGCAGTGTCTTTTCCCTCTAGTCTTTTCCCTCTGGTCAAGTGCTGACCATGGTGTTAGTAATAAGCCTATTAGTATTTGATAGCTAAAGGCCCATGTAAAATGAGATGCATGGTCTTGATTTATATTCTAGTGGATGGATGTCCACAGCACAAACTACTATCAAAGTTGGTGCCCTATTTGGCTGTCTTGCACTTTGATTAGCATGGAGAATGAACTACTTACTACAAGCTGTCTTTGCACAAGGGACCCAAACACTGGCAGCAAAGTTTAAGGAACTTTGCATATGTTTTACCTGTTTTATTAATAACAAATTTGAGTTTCTAATTCTGTCTGACTCCTTTCATGAGCGTTACTTTTCATTTAAACAAAATATATGATGTTACCAGCATCGCTTCACTGAATGTCCTATGCCTAATCCGATCAAGTATTCTTAATATATTTACAGGTTTCCACTCTTCTGCATTTATTTGCTAATAGATATTTCTATGAGCAAATATTGGTTCAAATAAAATATAAAAGATGCCTTTATAGTTTGAGAGGGAGAAAGATCAATTCACTGGAAAGATTCAAAGGCATTTTTATCCAATGTCCTATTTCTGCTGGAACAGCTGCAGGAAAGATGTTCTATTTCACTACAATCATTAGCAGCTGTGAACAAGTAGCTGTCCGTAAATGTAATTGTCTCACTGTTGATTAGTACTCTAATGTATTTCAGGGATGGAAATACAAGAGGTGTGTGGAACCTATACCATAAACTTGTGTCCAACAAGAATGAGTACCAGTCATTCTGAAAGCATCTAGTTACTGATGTTTTCTTGTGCAGAAGATATTAAAATGTTCTTTCCTGAAAGATAAATATATTTAGATGACAGGAAAATACTTATTTAAATAAATAGTTTTCTTCTCTGACTCTCCAATATTTAACTTTAGTATACTAATGAAGCAAGTATTGACAGACATTTGTGTGTAGAGTCCAAAGTGATGAAAAATTGATCAGCATCTGACTATAACAGCTGAGGACATTTTCTCAGTGGAAGTCATATATAATCAAAGAGGCAATATTTACCTTTTTGAGGAGCGTGAGGTATAGAAGATAGACAAATTCTGTTTCTGAGAGTTGGATGTATTAATGAAACTCAAAATATTAAAGCTATAAACACTGTCAACATGCTTTTTAAAGCTATACAATTGATTGCAGTGTTGAACTGCCTCGAAAAGTACCAAGAGTAGTGTTGTCTCCCCTGTGTCTGTTTATAGCAGCTGAAAATGTGGCCTAAAGTGCACGTGTCCTTTGTATGTAGCTCTATAAGTAGTCCATGTGATGAATATATTTTGGAGTCAAGTGTTTAAAAATGAGAAACTGGTCTACCACCACCTGAAAATTCTAGGGTACATGCTTCCTTATAGCCCACAAGGAACTTGGATTTGGTTTTGGTAACAGTCTGGGCAATAGACCAAACTATTTTTTTTTTAATCTTATGACATTTTTGGATCTTGTTTGTCCATTGCACTGTGAGTTACAAGCGAAGGCTTTAAAACTTTTTGTTTATTATAAAAACATGGAAAACATAGGCTATTTTAAACTGGAATATTTTTCCACAAGGTAGGTCATTTTGAAATGTTTACCCTTGCCTTGTGATAAAACCCATGTAATCTCCATTATTCCATTTTCTTACTAGAGGGAATTTTGTCACTCAGACTTGACCACTGGATGCATCTCATCTATAGTATTAGTGTACTGGTACTTTATTTTGCCTTTCACCGGTACGATTGAATTTCTAGACTCTTGTCACAGTAAGAGGACATTAAACTAAATCCTATGGAGTCTTGTTATTGAAAGGCTTTATACTTGAAACAAAGCTGCATCTACATACTCAAAGTAGAATTATTCTTAGGATTTGTATAACCATTTTACATTTTGATAATACCAAACAAAGATTAATATTCAGAACACCCTTATGAGGATAGGTAAGTGTGATCTCTATTTACAAATGTGTAAATTGAGGAGGGGGAAATTGAGTGTCTTGCCCAAGGCTGTACAAGAAATAAGTGGCAGAGGCAGTATTATTATTTAGGATTTGTTGGCACCTGTTTCTATACTCTAATCTCTAGACAAGCTGTCTTCTTAAGTAATCTCAGAAGAATGTTGATAATTGAGGTTTTGATTAAAACTAGCGATTGAAGTTTCAAACATGCTGTTGAATAATATACCTTATTTTCACCAGTGGTTTGGGGACCTATTTGTGAATTACAAATTTATTTCCATCCTACCCTAAAGATGTCCAATTTTGTAATCCCCAAATCTGAATCTTTTCCAATCCTTTCAAATGCACTTTTTCTTCTGACGTATCTCCCCTCAATAGCCCATTTTATAGTTTGAGGTGACCCAAAGATCTCCCTTCCTAATGCAGTGCATTCAGCATGCGCTTCATAACGTAGAAGCAAGATGTGCGTAACTGTCGTTCATGAGGTTCATTAATTCTTTGTTATAAATGTCTCATTTTGGAGAACCATCTTGTTCATGGGGGATACATACACTTTGTCTCCAAATACTGTAATCTCACCAGTAACAGCAAGTCTAATCAAGTGCTCAATCTTTTCCTGGAGTCTTCAATTATCAGTGTCAGATAGTGCCAAGTACATAATGATCTTGAACTGACTGCTTATCATTTGGCAGTGGTGCCACTTTATTCATGTGTGTAAATTTAAATTTGAACTAATGGAATTGTGGAAGTTGTTGAATTGACACCACTGGAGACTTGACATTCTTTGATGTCCACAGTACCAGGTAGCACGCTGTGTAGTCTTTTCCCCACTTTGCTCTGCCCGTGTGCTTAAATCATCCCTGACTGGAGGGACCTCTTCTAGGAGGAAGAGAGGAGTGTGATCTCCATAGCCCATTCAAGTCCTCAGTCTCTAGGTCTGAAAGAGCTGTGAAGGGGGCTAATTATAGTAGTGGTCACTGTGAGGGGTGGACCCTTTTCCTAACAAGACTACCAAACCGTTTGGTCCAATTTTTGGAGTTAGGGACAAGAAGTATGTCTGACTACTTTATCGTTTGGTATTAACAGAAAGACTTATGAAAGTTAAGATTTAAGGAGGTTTTCTCTCAATATAGAAGTCAAATTTGTTTAACATGGTTTATGTGGATTCCTTTAGCTTTTTTTTTTTTTTATAATTGGTCGACGTTGCATTACGTGACTCATAGTAATTCGGTAATATCATAAATTATTTTAAAATTCACCCACAGGATCCTTTTTACGCAACAACACTTCAATAACTACTTTCGGTTTATTAAATGACGCTGAAGGCCCATCTGGAGCTTTCAGCCTGCAGTCATCATTTTTAACTTTTTCTTCTTATTAAACTTCAATCGGGAGGTCTTTTATGTTTCCTCTGAAATACTTTCCCTGCAGGTAGGCTGCTTTGAAAGTTTATTTTTTTCATAGTATTTCAGAGGAAAATGGGTCTGGCTACCACACACTGTATTGCCTGTAGAGTGTTTCGATAACATGGTGATAACATAGCAAATGTTTGAACAGCACAGTCAGATCAAGGAGTTGAGGATACGGTTTTTGGTTAGCTAAACTTTATTAGGACTGGGAGAAGGGGATTGACTTCCATTAGGGTCATTTTGGGCCTGGCTGGAAAAAGTGGGGAAGAGAAGACACATGTATGTAACAATAGTTTGAAAAACTACATTCTGCTTTATATGGAGATAGTTTCAAAATAATCTAATTTAAATTATTGCGGCCAGAAATCCTAACTAGCTAAACTTTTAATGTTGCATCTTAACTTGTAAACTTTACGAAGACTTCAGGTCTCTGTGCTGGGGAGAATAACTATGGCATTACCTTTCTGAAGGGCTGTTACTCTGTATCCTGATACGAATCCTTTGCAGTTCAGTGCTGCAGCCAGAGGAGTCGGTGGTGGTTGTGGGCAGGTTTATCAGCGATGGTGCCAGGCAGTAACTGTTCGTATTGCAATCCCATTGATTTTTAGATCATGGGTGTGGAATAGTCTCTGCATAGCCCTGTTTGGAGCAGACTGATAAGGCTCCTTGTTTCCTAGCAACCACACAGTCTGCCATATCCAGAAACCTGCCCCTCTGCAGCTGGAGTGAAAATTCTGAGTGTCTCAAATTTGTACCTTTAAACAAGGTAAGTCTTTCTCCTCTGAGACGCTGAATATAAAAGCCTTTGTGTTCAGTTAAAATTAACATTTCATCAGAAGTTTGTTTTGGATGCAGACAGAGAGAGAGAGAGAGAGAGAGAGATTCTATCTTCTTTGTCCTTAATATAGTGTTCCATTCTCTCTCTTTTTATTTAGACATTTCTCATTCCTGGGCATGGCAATGTCATATATCCTTTTCCTAACTAGACTCATAACTGAAGTTACAAGCAAATCCACTGAAAGTTTGGTATGTATTATATGTCATAGCTCTGCATGAAATTTCATTCTGCTATGAATGAAATGGAGTTAAAATTGCCTGTTTATATGCTAAATTATCTTAAGAAGGAAGTGGGGGTTTTCCCCCTTAAAATGCTGTTTATAGAAGATTTTCTGATCACAAGAAAAGCAGCACACCCAGAACTTGCCTGTAAAAATTAATATCAGCTTTTCCTTCCTCCAAGCAGCGTTTGCTGCCAATGAGCAATATGGTAGGTTGACGGAGCAAATCGTGCCCAACAGGAATGAAGATCTAGCCCCCAAAATTGCAGTATTGATTGGATGCTCTGTCTAGACAATTTGGCAACTTTTGAGGGTGAACTTGTTCTGAAGACTGCCTGTCAAAGCTTTGACTCCCCCCTGCCCTGACACAAACCCACTGGCTAGAAGACATGCAGCTGGTCACACTCTGAAAAACATAGATAATCATGATTTTGAAAGCTTTTAATCTTTCTAGCTGCTTGGCAGTACAATAGCTACAAAAGTAGTCCAAAATATGGAAACCCAAAATCAACTTTAAAAAGCTGCCCATGGTTACAGGAAACTGCTGCTGCCTATTACACAGTGAATGGGCAGAAATTTATAACCTGTCTCCAGGACAGTTTGACCTACAAGCCTTTGTATGTACCAAGCTGCCTATTTTCTCATTGACTGTGAGCCTTTCTGGTTCTTTAGTGTTCCCTGACTTCCCCTCCCACACTCGACTAACTGGGTGAAGTCTGCCGCAGTCATTACAAGTTTGATTATCTCAACCAGGTCAGGGATGAATGATACACTCTTCCTGATATCCTTGAACCTCATCACTTGCGTGATTAATTGATGACTGCCTGTAATAACAAATACTGTGCTGGGTTGGTTTAGACTGACTTTGACCCTTTAGCCATTAGCTTGGATACTAGCCTGATCTTGTGTTACTTTCCACCAAGCTCAGTGAATCTGTGAGTTTTGAGACTTGAACACCTTGGTATTTTTGAGAAAAAAAAATCAGATTTAATAAAACTGCAAAGTTCCTGGCTCCCACCTCTGTGCTCAGTCCACTAGCCCATATTGTTTCAGAACATTTTTTTTTAGCCCCATGAGGAAGAGGTTGTGTAGCTTAAATGACACTCTCATGCATTGCAACATGGATATCCAGAGACAGAATGGCTTTTCTGTAAGGGAGGAGTTATGATCGTAGTATCTGTTTTGCAAAACCACACATTTTTATTTTTAAAATTTGGCATCTGGTGTTTGGCTTGTTTACATGAATATGAAGTGCTCTAATGAGTGCTTTCACTTTATAGTACTGACATCCTAACAGTGAGAGAGTTTTTTTTTTATAACTGAGTTCTACTGTCGCTGCATATAAATGTCAAAAAGAGAGCAGTTTTATTCAAGGCGCTGTTTCACAGGAGATTGGTTTTTGCCATGATTCTGACATGCATTATATTTTTCACCTACAATATTAATGCAAATCTCCCTTTTCTAAAGGTGCTGTCTGAAATTAGGAAACTCCAATGCAAATGTGAAGTTTAATCAAAAATCAGCCTTATTCTCACTTTGGAGTATGGGGGAGGAATGAGGACCCTCAGATCTGTGCACAGAGGAGACCTAGCTTAGCTGTCTCTGCAGCAGTCCCCCTAGAGCCCACAGAGCACTCTCTGCTAGTCTAAGATCTGTGCAGGTGAAAGCAATGAGGACTAAGTGAGACAAGGTAGACATGCATCATCCCGCACATTTACTATGGAGTCCCCTTTCTGGTGGGGATTCTCTTTCGCAGAGGGTTTCTGGGACAGCTGTGTCCCTGGGGAGTCCCTCGGGCTACCAGGAGTTAGAGCTGCTGTGAAGCACAGACCCTCACCATGGATGATCCTGGCCTCCTGTCCCCCTGGAATCTGCAGCTTTTTGAGTGGTCCTATGGCCTGTTCTGTAAGGGCCAAAGAAAATGATTAGGGAAAATGGCAACCATGCTGAGATCTTCTCCTCCAGGGTTTTACCTCAGGAGAGAGTGATCCAGCCCATGGAGATGAACTGTACACTGTTCTAGAAAAGTTGGCAAGTGCTTTTACAAAGTGATTCTATGAGGTCCCATCCAAAATCAACACTGACATGTACCTTCTTTTACATTTGTTCGCAAAGCCCTAATTTGGGCAGTTGCTGACTGGTCAAAATGATCTCATTGATGTAATCCAACCTGTTCTGTATCCTCTACTGCTGATTATTAAAAATTGACAATGAAGTGTTCATTGATACAGTTTCAGCTGCCCCTGTAATTTGTTCCTTTTTCATTAGTATGTACTGGATAAGATTGAGCTGTGTTTTTAATAAAGCCAAGAGCTGTGGGAAATGTGCTGTAATGTTTTCTTTTTAGGTTTCACAGCCAGAATGCTGTATGGATGTATTGGATGCTAACAGCACCTGCCCAGTCACTAACCAGTGCAGTCCAGGTAGTGTCTTTGTCCAAGAGAAATTCCCAGAGCATTTTTCTGTAGCCAGTGGCAAAACACAGAAGCTAATTAATTAGGGAAGGAAAGAAAAGTTACCGTACACATGCATCTTGAGGAATGTTCTCTGTATGAACACATGTAACTCTCATCAATTCTCATGGAAACTGTATGCTCACATGGGGAGGATAGTAGCCTGGCATTGCTGAACTTTTTCTTCAGTTTTCACATACCATAAAGTGGTATGATACAAAGTGTACTATAAATTAATATTTACAAGCACATGTGATACAAAAATACAGTAATATACAGCTAAGGGGGTGGGAAGAAAGACTTGAGCCATGGCTAATATGATGCAAATGTACTATCTCTTATTACCAGGAAATGATGTGGGTTCCCTTTTGTGCCACTTAAAGCAGACTTTCAGAGAAATAGTAGTTGATTTCCCACCTCCTTTTATCATTCTCCAACAATGCCAAGAGAAAAGATGATCTAATGTTTGTAAAAATCCACCTTTGTTTAAGGTGAAGTGGAAAGCTTTAAAAAATAACCAAACTGTTCTAGACTCAAGATCGGTAAGATAACATATATGCTTCAATATTACTGATTCTTTGTAGAACTAAAGAATTGAAAATCACGTTTTTTCTTTCTTATGACTAAAACCATGGGTTCTGTCTTTTCCTCATATTAAATATTAAAAGGTATCTTAAGGTTCATTATTTTTCTAAGCTAAATGCTTTGCTGCTCAGTTACTTAAACATTACATGATTACTACATTCATTTCTGTTCTTAAATGATCTGAGATGTGGCACAAACTGTTGTCCATAAATCTTATAGATTCACATCTTCTTGCATCATGCTATAAATGTTAAACTACTGAAATCTTGGTGTCAGATAAAATACTTTGTTGCTTTCTTCTTATTTACTATAGAAAGGCTTTGCCCTTACAGTGGGTGTGTTTGTGTTTAGATTAAATGTCAGGTGTAATTTATTACTAAGAGCATCAAATGTGCAGCTTCCCTCGGAGGAAAACCTACCAGCAGAGCTGTTTTCCAATCAGTGCTTTACTAATAGTGTGCTTCATGGAATAATTGATTCCAGTTTGGCTAAAGGCTGTGGAGGACTGGATTTTAGCCTACATACTGAGTTTTTGCTTTAGAATCTAGACCAGGGGTCGGCAACGTTTGGCACACAGCTCGCCAGGGTAAGCACCCTGGCGGGCCGGGCCAGTTTATTTACCTGCTGACGCAGCAGGTGCGGCCGATCGTGGCCCCCACTCGCCGCGGTTCGCCGTCCCGGGCCAATGGGGGCGGCGGGAAGCCACGGCCAGCACATCCCTCGCCCGCGCCGCTTCTCACCGCCCCCATTGGCCCAGGACTGCGAACCGCGGCGAGTGGGGGCCGCGATCAGCCGAACCTGCCGCGTCAGCAGGTAAATAAACTGGCCCGGCCCGCCAGGGTGCTTACCTTGGCGAGCCGCGTGCCAAACGTTGCCAACCCCTGATCTAGACTGTAACACGATTTAGCAGGAATATCCTTCTAATCATCCGGCTCCTGGGTCATAAGACACAGAATGAAGCCACTACTGCTTTATTCTATTAAATAAAGTTAGTGCTGAAGACGTGCCTTAACTTTTTTTCCTGTCTTATCAAAGATAGAAACTTGTGCCTTTAAACATAAATTGAGAGACACATGATATCAATGAAGACACAAATTTAATCAGTTTTCAGCCTTCATTGGTAGGATGGCTGATATAAAAGACCCCACTTACCTGTCATGGAATAGTTTAAACAGGATTGAGTCCTTGTATGCAAACTATACAATACCAAAGAAGTTTGGGCAATAGAAAAATACTGTATTATAGGCCAACTTCATATTGTTCGTTACTAGCCCTCGAGTGACTGACAGGGTTGAGTCCAATATATCCTGATGCAGGAGCTCCTTTACTGGTTCTTAGCATCTTTATGCCTCTCTCTCTACCTTAGCTTGTGATATAATACACAGACGTGGTCTTAAATCTTGTTTTAGCCGGATGGGGACCCGGAGAGGGCAGGAAAAATATAAGCAGGGAGATTCCTTCTTTTCTGGGAGTTTTTAAGGGATGGCATGGAGGGATTGGAAAATTTTCCTGTTTTTCATAATTTAAAAAACTAAATGGTGAATGGAGCTACATGAAAATAACCTCCTAGCATGTGCTTGCTTGTAACTGATTTCTCCTTAATGTCCTTTATATGTAGGATAACACCTTGTTTCCTTGTTGCAGCAGGCGCATTAGAAATTAAAGCTTTTTTTTTTTTTTTTTTTTTTTGGTGTAGTATGGTAGTAAGTAAGAGACATTTTATGCAGGAAGCCTGTGTTCTCAGATGCTTGATTCTGGAGACTAGAAGGATGTTCCTGACATTTCTCATGCCATTTACAGCTCAGTGTACATTTTGTTCTTGTGCAGGTTGTTACAGAGAGTGGAATGAGGATGGGAGTAGCAGTTGCATTAAATGCAAGAATGAAACCACTTCTGTTGCGTCAACTTACAATCTGACCGATTGTAGAAATAGTAAGTCATCTGCCATCCGCGGTCCAGTTTTTTTTTTTTTTTTGCACTGGGGCCTCTTTATACACATTCAGTTCAACCAAGACTGTCCCGTAAAAGATTCTGAGGATTTCCATTCCTAGTTTTCTTCTCTGAAATTTCCATCATTCTCAGAGCCCCTACTGTACCTTTTGGGTGACAACCCCTTCAAAACCCGTCAGAACTTTCCTGAAATCAACCAGTAGAGGCACACTGTAGAGCAGTGTGAGGCACAGCATCCCGTAATCTATGATCTTTTGTCTCCTAATCTTCTTTAGACACCTTTTGTTTACACATTAGAACAGGGGTAGGTAACCTATGGCACGTGTGCCGAAGGCGGCACACAAGCTGATTTTCAGTGGCACTCACACTGCCCGGGTCCTGGCCACCGGTCCAGGGGGGTTCTGCATTTTAATTTAATTTTAAATGAAGCTTCTTGAACATTTTAAAAACCTTATTTACTTTAAATACAACAATAGTTTATATATTATAGCTTTATAGAAAGAGCCCTTCTAAAAACGTTAAAATGTATTACTGGCACGCGAAACCTTAAATTAGAGTGACTAAATGAAGACTTGGCACACCACTTCTGAAAGGTTGCCGACCCCTGTATTAGAATATCTGATCTTTACAATCAAATGCAATATCCAACCCATATCTTTCTGTGGCTTTTAAGAACTCTCAGTATCCGTAACATGCAGAACTCAAACAAATACCAAAATGTGTTGTTGTTTTTTAAGAACAAACAAACTTGCATCAGACAAATAATTAACATTGAATTTCTTGAATGATTTAATCACTATTTTCAGAAACAGGCATTTACCATAGGCACATACTAAGGATTCCTTCAGACCTCAAATAGCTCTTTTATTCGGGAAGCTGGACTGCACTATCCCATATGTAAGAGGCCCCATTTCTCATTTTTGTTCTCCTCTGAGTAGGGTGATCAGACAGCAAAGTGAAAAATCAGGATGGGGGTGGGGGGTAATAGGAGCCTATATAAGAAAAAGACCCAAAATCGGGACTGTCCCTATAAAATCGGGACATCTGGTCACCCTACCTCTGAGCAGTCCATTTCATTTAATTAATAAATTGTTTAGCAAAACTAGCGGAAGAGCTTGAGAGGCTTCCTGTAAGGGCAATGCAGTAATGAACACTTTTGCCAGAAGAGGGTGATCATGCGCCTCTTCTTTATTTCTCCCGGGAAGTGGTAGGGGCGCTGTTATCTCATGAGAGAAACCAGGCATCAGATATGATATGATGGCTTATGTCACTCAAAACCTTTTCTAAAGCTGCGCTGAATTTAATGCTTCATAAAAATGCATTTTTCCCCATATAGCTGGTACCAGAGGAATGAATTTTCAAATGAATATAAGTACCGTAACCCCCTTTCTACAGAATATAGGTAAGTAAATGGAATTGTCTTGTATTGGGGGGTAGCCACTCTAGAGCTTTTCCTGTTGTCATCTGCACACACTTGACAACATAGCATTTGATACAATCTCGGTGAGATGTTTTCTCCCATATTTTTAAGTGTAGCAGCCATTTTAGAGTTGTTAATTATTCGAGACTGTAGGAGTTTTTATGATGTTTTTTTAAAAAGCCAAATTTTGAGATAACTGCACTTCTTCTGCCGGATGGTGTTTGGTCATGATGCATTTTGCTCAGAGAGAAACAGTTATGCCAGTTACTTGCCAGCTGATTTTTAAACCTGATGCTGCAGCAAGTGTTGTGGGATTTTTTTTGGTATGCCAGTTGCCAATTCTAATTAGACCTGATGCCTGATGACTTTGACTGGCTGTTCTAGGGCTTGAAACTTTTTGTTTCTGGAGCTGGTTGTAAACTATACCAGTTACTTCAACTTCACTCCTTACATGTATTGTTTCACTTGTACTGCAAGCAAATATAAATTGAAAATAATTAGATTGCTGAAGTATGGCCCACTACTGGAGGTAAGATCCCAGACAAGGTGATTCAGTGATCTGCTCTAGAATAACCACTTACTGTGAATGCTCATGAAGTGAGAGCGTAAATGGTATAGCCATTAACAAGATTCACATATAGTTGGATGCTATACAAGCTCCTTCCAGACAGCTCTGCCAGTGCACGTAAATCTTGACCTGCAGCACCTCTTGCTATTGTATCCCTGTATTTCTCTGGCAGAGCCCACCGGAGATGCCCTGTTGTGTTATTTTATGATCTGCACAGAAGGGGAGTGGGGGCTCTTGGATGTGAGTGAGCCTCATGATTCCTGGTTTCGCAATCAAGTTCTAATTCATTTATGAGTATAAAACAAGTGCTGCTTATTTCCTTTTATACTACGTGTGATGTAATAGAGGTAAATCGCCTTTGCATCTGGCCCTGTGAAACTTGTACCCAAATGGTAAAGAAGAAGAGCTATCCTGCCCAGGGAAACTGAGGACTAATATATAGCTTTTTTAAAAAAAAGGAATTGCAAGATCTAGGGAATAGCTTTGGGAACTTAAGACAATCTATGTAGTGTTATACTAAAAATCTCACTATGCCAAGTGTTTAAAATCTCATTTAACATCTTTTGTCCCTGACCTTGAATGAAGCAAATTAAAAACAGAATGAAGCCAGAATTTGTACTGAAGTAAAGTCTTTGTATTCCATTTACAGTAAATACCAGAGATGTGGTGTATCTGCTGTTTCTGTGTCCGGAACACAAGAATTTCAGCATTCCTCTGCTTCGTAAAATAAATCTATGCCACCTCATGTGATCATGACCTTAAACAAAATAAGTTAAGCAAATTGAGCAAATGTTCTGGAGAAATTTTTTTGCTAGTTTCTATCTTCCCTTTGAGGTATTACAGATTGGTCATTTTGAAGGCAGAATACCAGATTTAATGACCAATGGCCTGACTCAATCCTGTATTGGGCAATTTAAATTTACCTTAAGTATTCTTATTATTTTGGTTACCAATCCACTTTTGTTCAATGCCTGGCAACCGCAGGTTTGAAAAGGATAAAGAAGGAAACACTTGGGACAATAATCTGTGGATATCTTCAGGAAAACATAATTAAAATAGTGTAGGTAGAGGCTAAAACACAGGAAAATTAGTATTGGAGGATGTTTCCTAATAATTTTGATGAGGTTTTCTGTTTGATATTTTGATACACAAAAGAAATGTTCTTCTCTCATCTAAATGTAAGCAAGTTTACTCTGTATTCTCTATAGCAGTGATGGGAGAATAAATCCCTTTGCCCCTTGTATCTTAGTGGTTTCTAGTAAATAACCGGCTATTTCCTCTGATTTCACAGGGGGCCCAGAAGTGGCAGCCTCTCTCATTTTAGGGACATTCTTCATCAGCTTATTCCTGATACTGTCTGTGGCTTCATTCTTCTACCTCAAACGTGCCAATAAACTTCCAAATATGTTCTACAGAAGAAATAAAGGTAAAGTGTTTCTTAGTCATTCTCCGTTTCATCATTTATTTACAGTTTAGCTGGGAATTTGAGAGAAGGCCAAAACCTTTTCCATATGTTTTAGAGTTCCATGTTCTACATTATTTTTAATGTACATATTGTAATCTGTTCTGTGCACTTCTGTACTGGAACCAGTGCAGTCCTACATATGTGTAAATGAACTGGAAAAAGAGGTAAACAGTGAGGTGGCAACATTTGCAGATGATACAAAATTACTCAAAATAGTTAAGTCCAACGCGAACAGTTACAAAGGGATCTCACAAAACTGGGTGACTGGGCAGATGAAATTCATTGTTGATAAATGCAAAGTCATGCACATTGGAAAACATAATCTCAACTATACATACAAAATAATGGTGTCTAAATTAGGTATTACCACTGAAGAAAGAGATCTTGAAGTCATTGTGGATAGTTCTCTGAAAACATCCACTCAATGTGCAGTGGCCATTAAAAAAGCTAACAATGATAGGAACCATTAGGAAAGGGATAGATAAAACCATAAATATCATCATATCACTCTATAAATCCATGGTATGCCCACACACTGAGCACTGCATGCAGTTCTGGTTGACCCTTCTCAAAAAAGATATATTAGAAATGGAAAAAGTACAGAGAAGGGCAACAAAAATGATTAAGGTATGGGTTCTAGATAGACTTATGTGTCATGTGTGGGAGGAGCCGGTGGTCATGGTACATGTAGGTACCAATGACATAGGGAAGGATAGGAGAGAGGTCCTGGAGGCCAAATTTAGCCTGCCAGGTAAGGGATTGAAGTCCAGGACCTCTATGGTAGCATTCTCTGAAATGCTTCCAGTTCCACGCGCAGGGTGAGTTAGACAGGCAGAACTGAAGGGTCTCAATGCGTGGATGAGATGATCGTGTAGGGAGGAGGGGTTACGATTTATTAGGAACTGGGGAAACTTTTGGGAAAGTGGGAGCCTATATAGGAAGGATGGGCTCCACCTAACCCAAAATGGAACCAGATTGCTGGCACTTAAAATTAAAAAGACCGCAGAGCAGTTTTTAAACTAAGGGCTGGGGGAAAGCCGACAGGTGCAGAGGAGCACGTGGTTCGAACAGACACATCCCTTAGAGGGAGGATCTATGAATGGAGATTCTCTATGTCCTAGTAAGGAGGAGAGGATGGAAAATGATAAAATACAGGTAGGATCTGATGAGAAACAGTCAAATGAAAAGAAAGGCCCATTCAATTACATCATGTAATGGCAGACAGCTAAAAAGTGACAGGCTTTTTAAGTGCTTATATACAAATGCTAGAAGTCTAAATAATAAGATGGATGAACTAGAGCGCCTCATATTAAATGATACTGATATAAAAGGCATCACAGAAACTTGATGGAATGAGGATAATCAATGGGACACAATAATACTTTCCAATACTAATATTGGAAAGACAGAACAGGTCGTGCTGGTCAGGGAGAGGCACTATATGTGAAAGAAAGCATAGAATCAAATAATTTTAAAATCTTAAATTAACCAAACTGTACCATAGAATCTCTGTGGATAGTAATTCCATGCTCTAATAATAAGACTATCACACTAGGGATATATTACCGACCACCTGACCAGGATGGTGATAATGACTACGAAATGCTCAGGGAGAGTAGAGACGCTATTAAAATAAAAAACTCAATAATAATGAGGGATTTCAACTTTCCCCCATATTGACTGGGTACATGTCACCTCAGGACGAGATGCGGAGATAAAGTTTCTTGACACCTTAAATGACTGCTTCTTGGAGCAGCTAGTTCTGGAACCCACAAGAGGAGAGGCAATTCTTGATTTAGTCCTAAGTGGAGCACAGGATCTGGTTCAAGAGGTGAATATAGCTGGACCTCTCGGTAACAGTGACCATAAATTTAATTATATTAACATCCCTGTGGTGGGGAAAACACCACAGCAGCGCAATACTGTAGCATTTAATTTCAGAGTGTGGGAGTACACAAAATTGAGGAAGTTAGAAATTAAAAGGTACAGTGCAAAAAGTGAAATCCCTGCAAGCTGCACAGTCAACCTGTGGAATTCCTTGCCAGAGGATGTTGTGAAGGCCAAGATTATAACAGGGTTCAAAAAAGAACTAGATAAGTTCATGTAGGATAGGTCCATCAATGACTATTAGCCAGGATGGACAGGGATGGTGTCCCTAGCCTCTGTTTGCCAGAAGCTGGGAATGGGTGACAGGGGATGGATCACTTAATGCTTACCTGTTCTGTTCATTCCCTTTGGGGCACCTGGCATTGGCTACAGTCGGAAGACAGGATACTGGGCTACATGCACCTTTGGTCTGACCCAATATGGCTGTTCTTATGTTCTTATGAACAGCTTCCATATGAGGAGAGATTAAAAAGACAAGGACTGCTCAGCCTGGAAAAGGAATGACGAAGGGAGGATATGATAGAGGTCTATAAAATCATGAATGGTGTGGAAAAAGTGACTTGGGAAGTGTTATTTACCCCTTCACATAACACAAGAACCGGGGTCACCCAATGAAATTAATAGGCAGCAGATTTAAAACAAACAAAAGGAAGTACATCTTCACACAACGCACAGTCAACCTGTGAAACTTGTTGCCGGGGGATGTTGTGAAGGCCAAAACCACAAATAGATTAAAAAAATAATTAGGTAAGTTCATCAGGAGGATAGGTCCATCAATGGTTATTAGCCAAGATGGTCAGGGATGCAACTCCTCTGGGTGTCCCTAGGCCTCTGACTGCCAGATGCTGGGAGTGGATAACGGGATGGATCACTTGATGATTGCCCTATTCTGTTAATTTCATTTGAATCATCTGACATTGTCCCCTGTCAGAAGACAGGATACTGGGCTAGAAAGGTTTTGGAATCTCTGTCATTGGAGGTTTTTAAGAGCAGGTTAGACAATCACCTGTCAGGGAAGGTCAAGATAATACTTAGTCCTGCCTTGAATGCAGGGGACTGGACTAGAAGACCTCTCAAGGTCCCTTCCAGTCCTATGATTTTATGGACCATTGTTGTGACCCAGAATGGTCATTCTTATGTTCTTATACATGGAGTAAACACTTCCTCTGCACTCTATGTATATTTTTTGTGGCAATACAGAACTTATCTATTTTCAGTTTAGTTTTTGCATGGATGCTTCTTGTGCAGCATCAGTGACTAACACCAGTTGAATTATTTTATGGTTTCAAAGGGTCCAACAATCCAGCCCTTCGCATTAGATGGTACTAAATGGTCTATATCTAGGGTACACACTAATGCTATGTGGACAGGCAGCATTTTTAGAGAATTTGACAATAATACTTTTCATCCGAGGCACTCCAAGCACTTTGGAAAGTTTTATTAAGCCCCACAACACTGTTGTTTTATACCAGCTTTACAGATAGGGAAACTGATGCACAGAAGGACAAGGGATTTACCCAAGATGCGGCAGCAGCAGCAGAATTAGGAAGAGAACCAAAGATTCCTGGTTATTCCTCTGCTCTAACCACTACACTTGCCTCTGTGTTTCACGTGGGATTATTTGGGAGCCCCAGAAACAGAGGAATGACACGTTTTATGACAGGAATTCTTTCATTTTATTGCGAGCTCTCCCCTGCCCACCATTGGTTTCTGCTTTTGTAGAACAATATTGGAAAGAAATGTAAATCTGAAATGCAGCTGTGTAGCTATAATCTAATGAGCTGAATTCATCCCTGTGGTAACTCATGAAAGCCAGTAGAATTATACCAGGTATAAATTTTGCCCAATATGTAATTTTTATGGAGTCAGCTGGATTTTTCACACTCTCTCTTCAGTTGCAGAATCTGTGTAAAACAATTCTGTGTACATTATTGCACCCTAACCTTTCCTGGTCAGGGAGCAAGTGTGTAAATATAATGTAGCTCAACTTCTGCACAGTAAATTTTGAAATAATATAGAAATGTATCTGTATTTCTCTACTTGTCCCGACCCCTTCTCTGTCAACCCCACATGTAATAGCTGCCACTTAAGAGGTTCTACCAGTTTAACAATGAGCTACTCTTAGTCAGATCCATCCACTGATCAGCTGGGTACCCCCTCACCTCGATTTAGCTTCTAACAGAGCCAATTCAAAACAAGACAGTCTCAACAGAAATCAGTAAATAAGAGCAATACACAAGCAAGGAGGAACGTGAGATCAAAGTGACACGTAACCTTAATTGCATAGCACAGTTCCAGTGAATTTGGTGGCACTTAATATAAAGTGTACAATAATAGACACCTAGATGCTAAGCTATTTTGTGCTAAAGAAACTGTTAGTATCATGAAAACTGACAAATTGAAACCTGTTTTTACAAGTTTCTTTCAATAGATTTAGGTACCACAGGTCTTCCTTTGGGTGTTTATAAGTGGGTCAAGAGCTATCATGCTGTGACATCTAATCTGGCAGGTCACCAAACTTGTGCTGTTTAACAACATCTAGACTAGAATTTCCACTTTTTGTGCTGCTAGTTCCCTTTTGTGCTAACATGTCACAATGTTGAAACCGAGGTTTTTATCTGAGGGAGAAGAGTTAAGAGCCTACTGGAGGGAATCTCTTAGGATTTCTGCCAGGCTGAATTTCATTTTGCCTGGCTATTTGCTTTGTTGTCAGTAAAGGTTGGTATCTCCCAGTTTCTTCTGCTGCTTCTGACTGCTATATCCTTCTATCTCCACACCATTTGCTGCCTTCACGCACTGACAGCTAGCTTCTACTGCTTTCCTTCCATGGCAGCTCCTTCAAAGCAAAGTGATGCTCCGGTGGCCTCCTCAGGGAGCAAAATAAGAACTGATTTAACCCTGTAAAAATAACTGTTTCCTGGAGAGCTTGAGAATCCTGTGTCCTTAATGCACAAAAGCATCTTCTGGGCAACGTGCTCTGATTTCCAAATACTCTTGTACGGATGTCTCCTCCAAAGCAATGGAGGGAGAATTCTCCCTCGAGTGTTGGTTGGGATATTGGACCTATCAGATTGTTCATTGTGAAGAATTTCTACAATACATAAGCAATTGAAGCAAACAGTTCCAACCTTTTAGAACAATAATGGCCTGTCTCTTTCCCCTTTAGCATCAGTTCTGCAGCCCAGTGAAACAGTAAGTAAAATCATTCCTTCTAACGGACATAAACACATCTTTCAAATAGTGTTAATTATTTATAGGGATACTGTCAGGTCACATTTTTGGCCCAAACTAGAATTTTATAGAAATGAAACTGTTACAAAACCTAAACTAAAAAGAACTGTCCCTGAATTACTTTTAAAAATTCCAATCAGAACCATTTAAAACAGATATTCCCCTGCAGTTTTTATAGCCCAAACTTTGCAGCATTGTATTGGCATACAAGAAATTGGCAGCAGAATTGACTAAAAAAGTAAAGCGAGTCTCACAAGTTTGTTGTCCATCCCGAGAAAAATGCAAAAGTAAACACAGCATTAATAATGAGAAAATAGATTTTTTAGAATTTATATTAAATTTGATTCTTTTAAGGAGTTGGTAGCACAAGTGAGGGCATTTTGCTTATTACAAATAATTGTAACCTTAGTGTCCACTTCTAATTTCTGTAATATTAGAAAATGCAAAGATCTTTTATATTTGACTTGATCCTTATTCTGTTCTGCAGGCATCAATGATACCTCCACCTACTTCTTCAGGTAAGGATCTGTTCCATGTTTGAGGGATCCTTAAATTTTCCTGTGAATATTTTCACCTCTTAACAACTTGCTCTGGTAGCTTTTTTGTTTCTTTGTCCTTGTTAGCTTGTAGTTAAGAAATACAAAACTACCTAGCAATATCCCCCAAAATCTGAATCTCATTGTGGAAGTGCCAGGAATACCCAGTAAGTACAGATATATGTATCTATATAAACAAACTCCAAAATTCAAACTACAAAGTCTGTTCAGGGGACAGAAGTGTGACAATGTCTGTAATATTAGCATTTGTTAATCGGGTGTCATTTCAGTAATTAACATGGACAACTACATTATCTAGTAGAAATGCTGCTTCCTTAATGGTATCTTTGGCAGCTAGGCGATAGATGACTTAGAAAGAGATGGATGAGTGTTCAGGTTTTCAGAGGTGTTCAAAAAATGAATTATTCAGAGTGGGACATGTTTTGAGGGCTGGAACATCTTGAGGATTCTTGGGTGGCTCATTTTCAGGCTCACTGGATTGAATGTCACACCTCTTGAAACAAATGACACTTACATGGTGTTTGGAACATGAAAATTGTGCAGGAGTTGGCAGAGTTGTTTTAATAAGCATGAAAAGTTCAGGCAGTAACCCGTTCTCTGGATTGGTGCTCATCTAACCGGTCCTTTTTCGTTCTTTCTTTTTAAATGCACGTCCTTTCAAGTAGTGCTGAGTGTATGATTAAATAATCCATTCTAGGGATGCCTTTATTTATTCTTAAGAAACCTCTCCTGAGAATTGCAGGAAAAAAGCAGACACACAGGCCACCAAAAAAAGCATCAGTACGCTAACAAATATTATTCTCAAAGCTGTAGCTGTCTGTGATGCTGATGTGCAAACAAGAAAGCTTAATGAAACAGAATCATATTGGCTACTTCTCCATTCAGAACATGGGAGAGGGTGAAATCAATCACTCTTTGTCAAATAAAAACGTAAGCAAGTTTCAAGTATTTCTGAAAACAGTGCACAGTTAAAAGCAAATTCAGTGATACGTAACATTGCAAATATTACAAAACGGTATTTGCTTATTTCACATGTAGGTATCAAAGAAACTTGTACTGCCTAATAGGGTATATCCAATTATTTAATCAGGACACTACTGAAAACTAGTCTATGCTTTACAGTAGAACCTCAGAATTACGCACATCTCGGGAATGGAGGTTGTTCGTAACTCTGAACAGTTCGTAACTCTGAACAAAATGTTATGGTTGTTCTTTCAAAAGTTTACAACTGAACATTGACTTAATACAGCTTTGAAACTTTACTATGCAAAAAAAAAATGCTGCTTTTAACCATGTTCATTTAAATGAAACAAGCACAGAAACAGTTTCCTTAACTTGTCAATTTTTTTAAACTTCCCTTTATTTTTTTTAGTTGTTTATGTTTAACAGTACTGTACTGTATTTGCTCTTTTTTTGTTTTTTGTTTTTGTTCTCTGCTGCTGCCTGATTGTGTACTTCTGGTTCCAAATGAGGTGTGTGGTTGACTGGTCAGTTTGTAACTCTGGTGTTTGTAACTCTGCAATTCTACTGTATATGCCTGATCTGTGTACTCTGAAGACAATGACAAAACTCCTATTGACTTTAAAGGAAGACCAATCAAGCCTTCCAGGAACTGGGTAAAATGTTGGGGGAGGAGGATGTTAAACAAGCCAATTTTTTTTAAACAAGCCAAACTGTTTACTTTCATTGTGTGGGTGTATGCGGATTATTTTTAAATCTAAAATGCAAGAATTAAGATTTAAATCTTTATTACCACAATCTTAATTTTAGGCCTTCCTGCAGGCAGCATGCTGACTCTAAGGCTACGGCTACACTACGAGGCTTTTAGCGACAAGGCTGTGTTGCTACAACCATGCCGCTAAAAGGCTCGTAGCGTAGCTGCTGCCAACAAAAAGCTCTCCAGAGCTCTTCTGCTGACAAAAAAACTTCCACCGCCCCACAAGCGGCAGCAGCGTTGTTGGCAGGAGAGCGCTGTTCACACCAGCGCTTTTCGTCAGAAAAACTTTTGTCGTTTGGCGGTGTGTGTATGGTTTTTTTTTAACACCCCTGAACAACAAAAGTTTTGCCAATGAAGTGCCAGTGTAGACAAAGCCCTTGTCTGAATTTGTTTTGGGCTTCAGGGAGATATAATCTGATAGAGCCAGAAACTCCTGTATTCTAATCTTGGCTCTGACCCTGAGACCCTGACTGGGAGCAAGTGTCTTAGCCTCTCTGCCTTGGTTTTTTATAGCCATAAAACATGAATAATATGTGGCTTATCTTTGTAAGGCTGAAAATGGAAATAATAATGGAAACACTGGTATCCAATGAGCACCCAATTCAATAAGTAACTAAAGTGCTTCCTTCAGAAGAGGTGTATTAGTGGGCTTTCTTAATATTTAGTCATCGGTCGAATTTTCTTCTCTATATTCTAGAACAACAATAGCCACTTTCGGATCATTGGCTGACTTGTTTAATTATGAATTAGTTATGAAGCCGTGACTAGATAGCAGTTGCTAACTGTGTGTCTGTACCCACCCTTTCAGTTCGAAAGCCACGCTACGTCAGACGAGAGCGATCGTTAGTGATGTCTGCATCCACCGCTATGATCCCTTCTGCAGAAACCAGGGTCAGCAATGTTTAGCCTTCAAAACTTACCTGAGGACTTAGTAAATATGCACAGTGTTGGCGAAACTTTCTGTAGCCACTGGAATGCCAGGAAAATGTCAGGAGCCGCTAACCGAAAAACAAGCCGAGCCACTGTGTCAAATGGGTTTGTGCCAAACGTGGACAGAGGAGTTGAACTAATGCAAACATGATGACTATAGGATATATCCAGTTCTGTGAACTGCTTTGATGGGCTTGAAAAGCCCTTTTCCAGCTCTGTGGTTTCATTTGTCTCCTAACAGAAGCTATGTTAAAATCTGCAAAGAATCTGCCTTTTTTGGAACACTTTCAGCTTTGGCAAGATCCTTTTTCCTTCATTGTGGTCAGCTGTCTGGCTGTGGAGGAGAAGCCCTCAGTGCAGCACGTCAACACGGAGTTTTGGAGGTGGGCTTGTTTAAAGGACACGTTTGTAAATGTTAACTCTAAGTGCCATGGCTTTAATGCTGCAGGAAAATACAAATGTATTTTACATGAAGTATCTCAATGCAAAAATTGATGCCTTCAGAAGCATCTTCTTCAGCTTCTTAGTCATAGAGGACCATGGTTTTTAACTGTAGGTTTAGACCCACCTGTCTCCAGATATTGTCATCCTAAGTGCTGCTGAAGTCTGTGGTCAGTATGGGTCTGATCCAAAGCCCATGAAGTTGATGGAAGTTTCTCCAGTGAATTTCATGGATGTTTAGATCAGGCCCTACGTGAGGATCCATTTGCTGTGGCTTTGTGGTTGATAAGCTGCTATTTCTGCCCCACTGAGACACCCAGCCTTCCCTCATTCCAGCGTTTCATGAGGGTGGCTGTTGCGGTCTAAAGGAAGGCACACTCTCTAAGCTAGGTTGAGCCACCCTGAGCACTTACACACATTGATTTCAACTGGAGTTGTCATGGGAATTCTCACCAACACAAGTAAGGGTTTCCCCAATCTAATCCTCCATGCACATAAGGCCTACAGATCAGCACCTTAGCCTTTGAGTTCCCCCACACACCACCTGCCTTTGTTTAAACCTCACTATCACAATGGATTCTTTAGAGGAAATGACTCATGGTGGATTTTTGTCACCAGCCAGTGGTAGCCATCATGATTTCAAGAACACAACAATTGATTCTTATCTTTAAAAATGCTAAAGTAGCTGTCTCTGGCCAATGTGACACCACTGTGGAGAGTGTAAACCTCATGATTCAGATATCCTCTCTGCCTCCGGCCAGAGGCTTGTTCAAAGCTATAGAGTAAGGTTTGGGATGGGGGCAGGGAGGAGCTACTAGTCTTTTTTATTGGATATCTATTTTATGCACATTTTAATGCAGTGTAAACTGTTTGCATTTCTTTCCTGAGAATGGAAGAATGGAGAATTTTGCAGCTTTCCTCCAGTGAGGTCAAAGACAGTGGGGCTAAAGAGGAAACTATGAAGGAGCAGGGCCTGCTAGCCACACACATTGAATCACTTTGACGCCCCTGTTTGATTAAATCCAACCTAGTTTTAATTGCTGTTTTTTCTGTCTGCTAAAACTTAACAGCCACAGTAAGTCAGGCCGTTTGAGAGGGGAAGCTTCCATTCTTGAGTACTGTATGTGTATAGTTTGTCTATTCCCAAACCAGGAGGTAGCAGTTTTGCCAGTTACTTTTTATGTCTGTTCTCTATGTATCAATAGGATTTACCTCTGATACAAATGACATTTTGAGGTGGTAGGAAGACATAGGGGCTATGAACTGACAAAGTGTCGGAAACAACTTAACTTTATAGGAGAAAGAAGTAACTATGCAATGATACAATGCAAAGATATTACATCTTTAATGGGAGGGAGTTTCTGCTTATGAATCTGTCAATGAAACTGCATCCATGCATGGCATAGCTGCTCATCAATTCTTTCCATACATAAATCATTGATGGGTCATTCTCTCCATTGCTGTGTGGGGACTGTCACTGGCCCATGTCACTGCTGCATGTCTGTATCTGTCTGTCCCTCAAGTGCATCACTGTAACAGTTTAGTGCCAAGTATCGGATGCTTCGTCCCCCTCCCCCCCACCCCCAAGATAGAGTTCAGGTTTCTCAGTGCTAACGTCGCTTTCTGTCAAACTTTTCAAACACAGCAAACTTTATTCCCATGGGCTTTGTAGTTTGTTCAGATCACATTAATGCTGTCTGACCCAACTGGATCCCTGGACAGAACCTACTTAGGGTTTTTTTTGCACTGTCACGTTAAATGCATACTGTGGAGTTGTTGTTTTCTCCCCCATACAGCTAGCTTTATTGAACACTTGATGACTGAGTCTTGAGCTATAAATGGTTAATTCAAGGACAAAGGATTGATATTTAATGTACCGGGGTATTTTTAAATTGTGCCAAAATAAACACCTTTCAGCTTTTTTTAACTATTGTTGAGGTCATGAATGTATTTCCTTTCTAAGCACAGGAAGAAAGGGGCAAACTTAGCACAAGAAACAAATCACTGATCCATCTCACTTGGCGTGTTGCCTCTTCCAGAGCTCAGGTTTCAGGAGAAAGTAAAAATGTCCATAATTCTCCTGTCCAATTATGCAATATGATAGCAGGGCAATCAGAGGGGAGGGGAGCAGAATTCCTTGATGATTGCAGAGAATCTGTTGCCTCTGGAAGCACTTAAACGTGTCCCCTTTAACTTGTTTACCATTATAAATGCTCATTTACAAGGATCTAAAGCAAGGAATATATCACCCTTTATGCCTGAATTCAGAGGTGATGGGCCAAATTTTCTACTGGCAATAACTCCACTGAAGTCAGTGGAGTTATGGTAGATGAGAATTTGGTCTGAAGTAAATGGTTGTTTAAATTTCACATCACTGAGTTGACATAAGGCTATGTGGATCTTGTACTAAAGAGACAGAAGAGGGTAGCGTGAAGAAATCTAACACAATGAGGCTGTAAGGTAAAGTAGACCCTTCTGCACACGAAAGTGGTGTAGTGTAACACTTGTAAATCTGAACAGTAAGTTCTCTTTAGCTATAATCAAACTCTTACAGACCTCTAATCCCTTCATAGTAAAGCGTTTCTTTCTGAAAGGAGTTTGCTGCAGTTGATAGGATGTTCTTTATTGTAAACAGAAAGCTGTGTTTTGTGTTCTTCAAATTTACTTTGTAAAATATTCAGGGTAATAGTGAGAGCTGAGCACAATCCGACAGCTGAACTACAGATGGTTAAATAAATACAAAGGTATTTGCTCTTCCAGAAAGCCAGCAAAACTAAGAGTTGAGCAGTGATCCTATACATGGGAAATATGCTATTTTCAGCAAAGTATGTGTAGGAGCAAGGACAAGCCAAAAGCTTTTGTACCTACTATATAGGCACTGGGATAATCCCCAAATAGTGTTGTCAGAGCCAGGATAAGAGTGCAATGTATGAAAAGATACAGGCAATGCAAATGATCCCCTGGGAGAGGAAGCTTGAAAAATGTTTTGTCAGTTAACTGGACTCTGAGCCAAAGCACATGCCAAAACAGAACAACCTTCCTGAAGATGAAGTGGTCAGTGCCCGAGCTGCTAGCCACTTGATTGAATTCAAGAGATGGAACAGGAAGTGAACTGAGGCGAGAAGGAGCTAAGTAAGTGTACAACAACAGAGAACAGTTTGAGGCAGCGTATAGTGCCTACCTGAGAGGGGCTGTCTCTTTTCTAAGATATTCAGGCCATCAGCTGAAGGTGAGTGCACACTGTATTGAGGAGAGTACGATGGACAATCACTGTTTGGACAATAAATATAAAACATTGGATTACTAAAATCTGATACCCAATTATATACTCTTTCTAAAATGCTGGTGCTGGCATCCTGCTGCTTTAGACTGGGTAACTGATGCAGAAATGACATTGCCCTCAGCTAGACAAGTACAGCAGCAGTTCTTCACTGTATGGCGAGTGTCTGTACATTTGTCTGGACAGCTAACTGTATGGTTAGGACTCCTCCCCTTCTTGGCCCTGCCATAAATGACTTGGATTGGAGCCCAAAGTGAGGCTGGACCTAGATTTTGGGAAACTACCTGTCCTGAGATTGCCTCTTGAGCCTTTCTTGCACTCATTCCTTCCAGGGAAAGTTTCCCCAGGGAGTATCTCTTGGAAATGTACACAGCGTCTTAAGGGAATTCTACAACTTCCTTATGATAAACTCAGGGACAGGAGGAAGTCATCACGAAAAAGAAATCAATAGAGTGCGAGAGAAGTGGTGTGGGTGTGCGGAGGGAGATAAAAGACAGTGTTTCTTTGTAGGCAAATGGCTTAGCTAAGGCTTATCACTTTCCCATTCATTCTTCTACGCAGCTACAAGGAATGGGGGGGGGAGACACCAAGCCAATGCAGAATGGCCCAAACCCCTCCATCCCATTTAAGCCCCAGGTAAGAGCTGTGCCGGGAGTTATAACCAGCTGAGTGACCATGTGAGAGCAGGGCCAGCGCAACCCATTAGGCCACCTAGGCGGTCGCCTAGGGCGCTACAATTTGGGGGGCGGCGACCGCGGCGGTATTTCAGCAGCGGGACCTTCCGCCGCCTCTGTGGGGGGTGGCATTTTGGGGCGGGACCTTCCGCTGCCTAGGGCGGCAGAAAAGCTGGCGGCGCTCCTGTGTGACAGTGCCATCTAATGCGAACCCCCAGACAGGTACACCTTTTGTGCTGCAACAAAACCGTCTCCGCAATGATACAATGTCCCTTGGCTTCAGTAGGAGTCGTACCTGCTTAAACCAGAGGACGATTTAGTCCTGTCTTAGCACTGCCATGGGTAGAAGTGTATTTTAAGGAACATGCCTAGAGGCTCAATTTTGTGTTGAATTTTGCTTGCATTCCTCTTGCCACAAGACACTGTGAGGTCTATTAGCATGTATAAAAGCTACTTTGCATCTTTGTCATTTATTTTTAATGCTCCCTGGGGAAGAAGAAATGAAATGGTGTAAACTTGATCATTTTACAATCTGTACCTTGCCCTATTTTTTATTGGTAACTGATTGGATGCAACAGCATTCAGATAAATCCCAGTCTCTGAAAAACCCTGAATTACCGAAATGCAATTGTGTATCTTTACCCAAAGCATGTAGAGAAAACTGTTTTAAACAATAGTTTTCAATATGATATAATGCAACTCTCAGAGTTATTTGCTACAAAGGATTAGGATTTCATCATCACCCTGGCTTTATTTTTTGGTAATAGAGCTAATGTAGGAGGGTTTAGGCTGTAGACCTGTCAGTTTCATTGTATAATGAACAATGTTTATAAATAGATCATTGGCTTTATTGCAACTTCTCTTCCCTCTACCATCATACTCATCAAATTAAACTGTTCCCCTCTGTTTCACAACCTTAGTCCGTGTAAGACTGTAATCCTTTGGATTTACTTCCTAAAGGGCTATAGCTGATCCAGAACACTGCAGTACAATCTGTCAGCTCTTCAAATTCCTATGACCTCAGAGCTTGCGATCCTGGTGACATCAGTGTCGGTAAAGTTTTCATTTCAATCACTTCCTCTCTAAAATATACCACTACTGCACTGTCCTTTCATGGCCATGGCCCTGTTTCTAAAGTTAATGCTACTTTCCAACACAATCAATCGCACCCCCAGCCATCATGTACATTCTGTTTCTTGGGCATCAGAGCACTACATACCTCAGAAATAGACTGGAGAGGACAGGAGGTGGAACCTTTATTTGTAGAACAGGCATTCCCAGCCTTATGATGTGAAATACAAACCCTCTACTGGGGGGAACTGTTGATTCCAACCAGTTGTATTTTCCTAAGCACTTTGTGAGCCATTTCAGTGATACACAAACTATTTTAATCAGTGCCTTAAAGTGATACAAAAATGTGTCTAGTAGTGGCTATGCCAATACCACCAAAGTTTGCGGATAAGTGTACAAAGAAAGGAATTCTTGTTTGATGGACGTTTTACGTGTTATATAATAAGCTACCAGCATGTAAAGTATTAGGAAATGAGCTGTAATTAGTAAAGCCCAGGTCACTAGTTGGCTGAAGGCAGCTAATGAGAATCAGAGCCTTGCTTAGCATCGGCGGCTGATTCAAGTCCAGCCCAAATCATTAATGACCACAAATTGTTGGTATGCCATGACTTTGGCCTGTGTGAAATGAGTTTGAGTCAGTTCCCCAATGAGTAAGTGGCCATGTCACAAACCACTATCAGAACCGGTACTAACTGGCCGGGTTGGCAGTCTTGACAGAGGCCCAAGAATGAATGAGCACACAGAGAGAACTTTCCTCCGATCGCTAAAGGTCAGAGTTGAGAAACTGGCAGAGCAACTTCTGCTCTGCCTGATACTGAGTAGATCAATTCAGGGACTGACTTTCTTTCATGTTGGTGTAAATCAGGAATAACAGAATGGAAACCAGTGAAGCTACCCCAGTGTAATAATGGGAGAGGAGGTTCTGGCCCACAGGTTCCAGAGTTGTCAATGCAGCCCCTTTCATAACC